TTAGACCTCAAATGTAGGCAATGCTTCATTCTGTAGTTCTGCCTTAGCTTAAATAACAATGCCCAGCCTATGTAGAAACCTGTGTAAAACCACTTTGAGACACCCCAGCTGATAAGTCATGCCAACACCTTATTCCCCTAAGATATCTTATTCGATCTTCAGTCAGCATCATTTTCTTTAGTAACTGTAGGGAAATATAAGCACCCATCTCCACTAACTCTGCATTCCCTGTTTGAAAACTCCTGGGCCTGCTCCCTGTGCTTCTGCACATTAATCCCAGGGAGGAAGCATCTCCCTGCCTGTGTGGATGTGAAGCTGGCAGCCTGTCCACTGAGTTGAGAACCTCCGGGCTCAGGTACCTTAGGCTCTGGTGGAAAACCCATGAGCCCTGTTTGTGTGTCAGGCTGTGGGGTGCCACCGTCCCTGCCTGTGCATGCTGAGAAGTGAACGAGGTCCCGCTTCTTACACAGAAGCTGGGTTTTGAAAGCTCTGCGTCCAGCTAAGCTGCTCTCTCTGTCTGTGAGTCGTGATGGTGAAGAGATGGAGAGGAGAACCCGGGGTTTGTCAGTCCTAAGGCTCTATCCATCTCCTCTCTCTTCCCTTTCCTCCAATAACTACCCTCTCCATGTGGGGGGTGTGCCCCGGGAAGTCCAATGTTCTGAGTTTTCCTCACAAACGCTATTGCTGAGTAATTTCATTTTTAAAGTTCTTAAAGTAAAAAATAAAATAGGTCAAAAAATAGGCCTATCATCACCTACTTGATAAATTCTGAAGCAGATTTTTAAAACGTTTTACTATGGACTCTAAGCAGAATATTGTCCTAAAATATATATGTCCTAAAATATTGGTTCCATAATAAACATTCTTGGAATAACTCGGGCCAACAAGGCTTTCACCCCTGGATGCCTCTTCATGTTAATGCCGGTTCCCCCCAACCTCCATCTTCTCTCCATCTTGCCTCTTCCTCATTCTTACCCAGAGGCTTTCCACTTCAGGACATTCCTGCTCCCTGATCCAGGAAGGAAAGAGTTTAGGTCTTCACTTGGGCCCACCCTCTTTTAATTTCTCCTCTCGTAATGGGGCCGTGATTTCAGAGGCCTTCCCTGACCATCCTTCCCACAGGAATCCTCCCAACTCCTCCCTGTCTTAGGGACCTCATTATTTTCCTGGTAGAACTGATGCCAACCTGCATTAATTCATTAAATTGTTAATACACTTGCTATCTTGAAGTGGACAAGAACCTCTCCTGTCTTCTTTGCCCCTGTGTGCTCAGCACGTGCAATAATGCCTGACCCAAGCTATCGACACACAACTGAAAGAAAGTTTAATGATCAGGCCAAAATAATAGAAAAAACATTTAGTGCTGGCAATACAGATAGATCTAAATGAGATAATGCATGTTCAAAGCAATTGTATTGTATTTACAAATGAGATTAATTAAATCTCAGTTCTTCTATCAGAATAACTACCTCCTACCCTCCTGTGTTCATCCATCTCTGCAGCTGGGTCAGACGCTACAGTGAATGTGGCATGAGACACTTTCCTGATCCAGTAGCTGAACAAACTTGAGCCAACCAGGATTTCCATTAGAAAAATGCTCATCTCTTCCTACCCTGTCTCAATTTGATCTGGCATCTATATTTCCACCTTAGTCATAAAAATATTGAACCACAGATAGCCTCATAGGAAGACCACTGTTGACTTCAGGACGAACTTGGGCTGCCTCTGATTTATCCTCCCAGTTTGGGTCAGGAAAAATCGATACCCATGTTGCTTAGCTCTCACTGAGCTGCTTTAAAAGACTTAATGGGCTAAAATTAACCTAACTAGATCCCTGATTTACCCTTTTCACACCCTGAATTACATACACAAAATTCAAGAGAAAATTCAGACTGTGGCCCAATCTCCCGTGGCTGTTAATAACTGCAGAGGGGCATTGTTATGGAAGATGGATGGTCTTGTTGGACTCTTTTCCTTCTCTTTGAAATGGCAAAAATCCCTCCCCTGTGGACAAGAAGCATTAATCTCTTTGTCTAAGTGTCAGCCTATTCCCATACAAGTGGCTCTTTTACAAAAACTGTTCAAATAATTACGGATCTTAGGAATAACAAATTATTAAGTAGAAAATTGTGCTTCTAAAAAAAGAGTTACCTATGTAGGTATCATTCAACTTCCACCTGGGACTAATAATTTAATTTGAGCTTGTCTTCTTTTATATAATTTTAGAATACTGTAATCGTTATGGAAAAATGCCAGCGAGATGTTTTCATTTTTATTTTTAAATTAAAAGCATTAGTTATTTTAGAAAGTCACATCTTTATTCATTAAAGGCTTAGGGCATGTTATAAAGTAATAGAAGAAGGGCTATTGGGGGCTGTCATAGGGGGTCTCTGAATGCTATATTACTTCACTGTAATTCAAGTAACTCTGAAATTTGAATAACTTTTGTATATTTTAGGATTATTAATCAAAATTGGTCTCTTCACAGTCTTTTCACGAAAGGATAATAAAACAGGGACTGAAGTATTAATCACATTTTTTTCTCATTATTCTATTAAAACATTTTGGTGTATGTGCTAGTTTAAGATAAAGGTAAGTTTTTTGATGTTTATTTGATAGTCAAAACTATTTTGATTTCCAGCGTTGAGATTTTCACCTTTTCTTTTTTATTTATAGAGTCAAAGTTGGAAGAGAAAGAGAAAAAAATATAAATAAGAACTTATGTCTTAAAGTTAACTTTTAAAAGATCATACATTCTAACTCTAAGCATCAGTGAGTCACACCTACCAAGCCAGGGCACAGACCCAGGCCACAGCTGGTATTGTGACGAGGCCATGGCTTGCTTCATCAGCACAATTTCTCCTTGTGTAGCCATTTTCATGTGATTCCTGGTGTCTGAAGATGAGCCCAAGACCAATCTATGCATACAAAAATGAGAGTCACAGGGATGTAGAAGTCTTTGAAGTGGTACCTGTATGAGCCTCTGCTACACCGATAAGTTCACCTGCTTGCCCCTCTGTAAGACAGTACGATCTCGCTTCTGAACTAAAAGTTCTCAAACATGGCAAAATTGAGAGGCCTTTTTAGTCACTGAGAAGCATCTAATGGTACTTTAATAAATCATTTTAAATATATTCACTTGTTTAAGATAGTGGCTGACCCTATTTCAAACATATTTTTACATGTGCTGTGGTAAGGACTGGTAAATAGACTTTGATGCAGTACCCTGTCTTCTCAGAGACCTACAGCCCTGCTTCGGGGATGTGCAGGGTGGAATTGATCACTAAGTTGTTATTAACTGACACATTAGTTCCTTCAAAGCGTTGACTAAAATGACATATTAAAAATTTTCCAAGTGATAGAATGAAAGAGAAACTATTTTTAGAACTGCCTATGGGCATTGCACATTCAATCGTGACAGTAACCCCCAAGAGTTAACTATTATCTAACCATTTTGTGGATAAGGAAGCAGAGGGTCAGAGAAGTGTAGAGACTTGGTTAAGTTCTTGCAGCTCATATTATCTCAATTCAAGACTTAAACCCAGATATTTTGATTCTCATCCACAATATAATTCATCTCTTCATAATTTACTTGATTAATTTGTTCAAGCAGAGCACTCAGAGACCATGGGAGCATAAAGGAAGACAGTTTTCATCCCAACCCAATGGAACCTGTCCCAACTTCCTCTGAGATCCTGAAATTGAGGAGAGAATGTTATCATTCCATTGTACTTTGGGAAACAGGGGTAAAGCAATTAATACCATCACCCAGAAAAGGAGGTAGACTGAACAACCCAGTGTAAGAATTTTCCATGCATGTTGAGGCTGAAAAGCACAGCATTTGGGCAATGTGAGTTATTTTATAAACTATGCATTAATTAATATCAGGATGTGATTAAGGCTAATTTCACCTCTCCTGTTTCTATTAGAGTAGAAAACATGCTCATTTTCAGCTGATCTATTTCACAACTATTTTATTGCACAGGGACCAGACATCTTGTTTGGTTCACTTTCTTAAGAGATGAGTAATGCAGAATTCTATCTTCAAGACACAGAAAGATACCAATACCATAATTTGAACTAACTTCTAACGTCCAAACTGTCCTTGAAATGGATTGTTTTATGCCATGCCAAGTTCAGGTAATAATTGGATCTCCATCTCCCCATGACTCACTCCTATTTTCTATACAACACTTCATCATTTGACCTTCAAAGGTGAGTTATAAGCAGAAGCATAAAGAGGACCCTTGCTTTAGAAATATAATACAGGAGACCAACAACCAAGAACAAAAGTACCCTCCAAGATGCATCTCACATCGCGTGGGTGTTTGTTATTCTTTCTCCCCACATAGGCTGGCTTCCCTCCCTCCTCATCTCGGTTTTTATGCTTGGCTGGGGTGTGGTAGGCTGAAAAATGATCTTCCAGGATATCCAGATCCCAATCCCTGGAATCGCATATGTTATTTTATGTGGAGAAAGTGGTTTCAGTTGTGCTTAAGGCTCTTGTTATGGGTAGACTACCCCGCCATATCTGGGTGGTCCCTAAGGGCAATACAAAGTTCCTTCTATGAGGGAACTTTTTTTTGGCATTTTTTTGTATAATGCAAACCTCAATGCCAGAGGTTATGTTGCTGGACTCGGAGCTGGAGAAAGGAAGCAAGAGCCAGGAATGCCCCTTGAAAAGTAGGAAAGCTTTGCAAGCCACAGATTCTCCCCAGAACCTCTAAAGAGAGCAGAGTCTTGCTGACACCTGCATTATGTCCCAGGAAACTGATTTCACACTTCAGACTTCCAGAACTTTCAGAGAATGAATGTGTGTTCTTTTAGCCACGAAGGTAATTCTTTAGGGCAGCCACAGGAAAACGAATACAGGTGGGTCCAGGGATGAACTAGAGACCCGGCTCTGAGCTGAAGAGTGTACCCCCACTCTTCCACCCACCATCATGGACAGTTACGCAGTGGCTTACGTCACCCAAACAGCAGCAAAAGTCAGCACTCACCAGGAATCCTGGGAAGAGCCAGACGTCTTCCCACAAGGATGGACCTTACAGGATGTGGGTCTGGAGCCATCTACCATCTGCAAAGGGAAAACCTGAGGAAGTAAGAAAGCCAGAAGCCATATAGAGATGCAGATGTGATGCAGAAGCAGAGAAAGGAGGAGAGAAAACAGGGAAGAGAACAACAGGGCAAAAGAGGGGGTGCCAGGGGTAGCTGCTCTGGGGCATCTCATGCCCTCTGCACATACCACAAGCCACCCTTTGCCCTGTCTTTCCAGTCTAATGACAGGAGCAGCTCCTCTGAAACCAGGCTGGACATGACTTTTATCATTTGAAAGTGCTCCATTTGGACACCAATTTTAGATTTGAGATATTAGATATATATTTTTTTAAAGTAGCACAGGCCAGTAGTGGTGTAACTGGTAATGTGGACTTCACTAAGTCAGCACTATTAGAGACCACATCCACCACCACACCTCATACACTGGAGAGATAAGATTACAACCAGTAAATATTATAAATGGCCAAAAAATTATTAGGCAGAAAACTGGAAAGACAAATCTGAAGGGAGAGGATGAATCTAGGCGAGCAGGATTTCGGCCCTATTCAGCTAGGGGCCCCTTTGCCAAATTTTGTTATGGATTTTTCATAACCCAAGTATTCAGACATGTTATTCAGCCCTGAGCTGTGTTTTCTTATGAATAAAATATTGCTTTAACTGGTCCTATCTTTTCTCTGACCTTAAACAACTGTTTAAGAATTCCTTTAGGGAATGCTTCCCTATCACTGTCTTCAAATCCCAGAGTAAGCAGAGAAAATCACCTCCCCCCACCACCAGCCCTGCATCTGCGCTTACCAGCAGCCCAGAGCAGCCATCATCTGTGCGAAGAACTGACACTGCATTAAAAAATTAAGTCCACAGTTTGATGCAGGCTTTGGTTTCTGTGATGTTATTAGGATGAAGTGAAGGGGAAGGGTTGTGTGTGTTCCACATTAGCAAAGAGCAGGAGAAAGAATTCACAGATGGACCTGCAGGTTTGGTAGGACAGTCTTGTTAGGCATTATTTCCTCATGACTTTAAAGAGATGATTGTTCCAAGTGGAAATAATGGAGTGGTAGAAATGTCCAAGATATAAATATGATGGTCTTAAAATTTGCTTGAAATTGTGAGTTATAACCAGTCACTCACAGGCAGCTCTTAATCTCCCCAGATAATTTGATTTTCTGATGTAGTAGCTGCTTTGCAGAATGTATCGGATAGCCAGGACCAGCAAATAGCAACTCCTGCTCCTCCCAAGTCTTGTGCTCTGTCTTCCATTTGAGGTTATTCCTGTTGGTAACAGTAAATAATATAAAAATCCATTTTTTTCTGTCAAAATATGATTGCATATTGATCTGATTTATTATCTAAGTACATCGGTGGTTACGAGAAGCCATTGTCTAAAGAAAGGGAGAAAGCTCAAAAGCACAGAACCAGGCCAATCAATGACTCAGCTGTGTTTGGTACAGTCCTGGTGCAGTGGCTCACACCTGTAATCCCAGCAACTGGGGAGGTGGAGGCAGGAGGATACCAAGTTCAAGGCCAGCCTCAACAACTTAGTGAGACCCTGTCTCAAAATTTATTTTTTTTAAAAAAGGGCTGAGGATGCAGCTTAGTGGCAGGACACATCCTTTGCTGCGTGAGGCCCTGGGTTTGATCCCAGTACAGCAACAACAGCAACAGTGAGAGAGCCCTTGGTACAATTGAATGGGCTCCACTCTTGTAAAGATAAAAGAATATATTTTTACTAATTTATAATCACTTTGTCAGGAAATAGGAGACCCAAAGTAGTTAGAAATAGTGATTGCTTATCAATTGCTTAACTGAAGATTATTTTATATCCTAATGGAACTAAACCTAACTCAGCTTAGTCCCCATATGACTGTGATTTCTTATTCTCTCATTAGCTGGCAGAAATTATTGCTTTTATTAAATGATGAGAAATAATGCATCAATTCTCAATTCTGTGTATGGTGACCACTGGACAATTGAACACTGCAGCTATAACTTACCAGCTTTGCTACCAGGTGGCTTCTTGAAACATGAACTTGGGTGTTCTTGGAGATCTCTGCTGCATTTCCTGGCTTGTTTCACTTGGGACTTAGAGACCCAGTTTAATTACCCATTTTTCTCTGATGAAAGATGAAAGCTTGTATAAGAAAAGACTTCAAATGATAAATGAAAAATCACTAATCACCCAAGAAATACTCATGCAGACATAATCTACAGAATTTAATTCCCCCTCGACTCACAATGAAGTACAAAACTTTGTGTATTAAATAGAAGAGTAAAAAAACAAAACAGTGTCTGATTAAAATAGCAGTCAACCATGTATCGATGGCTGCAGACACAATCTTCAAAACACTTTATGCAAATAATTAGTAAGAGTCAGTAGCAATATAATAATTTATAATAAAAAAAACTGATTCTATTCTTAGAAATATCAAAATGAGTCTCTTAACTTAGATGCTCTATAGCTAAATTAATTCAAAATTATTTCCACTAATTTTACCTTTTTTGCAATATGAAAATGTAAAAATAGATGACCAACTAATAAAAAAACTATGGCCTTTTTTTTTTCTTAACTTATGCCCTAGTTTAGATACATATCCATTACACTCTCTTATCCAGTTTCTATTTATAAAACCAAGGTTGACATTCACAAAGACTGACCCTGGATCACTGTTGAGTATTGAATCATCAGAAACAAAATTGTATTCTCTAAGTTGTATAATGACGTTGCCTGAAAAAATTAACTAAAGATTTCAATTTAAAAAAAAATTGATCTTACTTTTTTCCTTTTTACCACAGCCACTTATGAAAGCTAGGACATCAAACCCAGCACTAAGAGACTTGAGCCAAACAGCCATCCTCCATCAAATCTATCAAACCCTAAGTCCTCCCCAGGGGGAACAACATCCAATTTGTTTAGCTCTTTAATTTTTTTCAATATTTAGTTATGCTCATGGAGCTGATTTTTAAACTGTAATTAAAATTATTTTCATTTGTTGAAGATTTACCTTTTAGTACCACCCTGTGCCACATCCATGTTCTTCTCCTCACAAACAAGGTATAGCATGGTTTAAAATCAATTCCTCATCTCTTTCTTTATATTGTGCAAGCAATCCTCCTTCCCTGTGTCTCCAGTTCTGCTGTGTCCAAATCTTCCCCTTGGCATCAATAGACTGAAAAAACGTGCTTGATTCCTACTTTCAACCAGGCATACTCACTGGTGGTAGGCCCTTTGAGAAATGAATCATGAGGCAAGTCTGGGTGTGGACACCACAGAGCACACTTAACAAACCAAGGTGGCGATGCTGCAGTGTGACAGAGTACAGCTCTCGGGGACCACGCAGGCCCGGGTCCCTCCTCGACCTACACGTCATTATGCGACCATGGCAGCTATTGTGGAAAGTGCTTTCTAACTCCTGTGACATCAGCACCAAGGACCTGGGGATCCTTCTTTCAAATCTTCACTCATCTCATAACCGGCTGGTTCCACGGGCTTTTCATCCACCTGTCGCTCTTTCCACCAGGGCCAGGCTGTTTTCAATATGAGGACTTAGAGGAAGCGCTGAAGTTGTAGCACTTTGTCTCACGTGTTAACATATTCTGGAATCTCTGCTTCCTCACAAGGATTTAATCTATTGGTGTCATTAATATTCTCTGCTAGGATTTTGATTAGGATTGCATTCCATCAATAGATCAAGTTGGGAACAACTGACAGACACATTGACAACATTGCATCTTCTTATTCATGAACGAAGACTGTCTATTTGTACTGAATCCTTTTATTTCTTTCATCAGAATTTCATCAGTTTTCCTCATAGAGGTTTTGCACTTATTTTGTCAGATTTGTACCTAAGTATTTCATTTGGGGGAGGGGCTAAGTTAAAAGGTCTTATGCTTTTAATTTCAAATTTCACTTGTTCTTTCTTGTATACTGGTAACCAGTTGACTTTTGCGTGTGAACTTTATATCCTGTAACCTCGTACTAAACACATACTTGTTCCAGGAGGGTATTTTTTTTCTATATAAATGATCATGTCATCTCTGAACAAAGATGTTGTATTACTGCATTGGTAATGCAATTAGCCAAGAAAAGGAAACAAACACTGCACATATTAGGAAAGAAGAGGTAAAACTGTCTTTGTTCACAGGTAATCAAATTTATTTAACCTATTCCTGGTTGGCTGAATTTTTAATCCCGAATGGGTAGAGGATTTTGTCAAATGCCGTTTCTGCACCTGTTCATATAATCATGTGTCCTTTCTTCTTTAGCTGGTTGGCTGTGATGGATTAGGATTATTGATTTTTTGTATGCTGATCTAGTTTAGCATGCCTGAATAAATCCCAGTATTGTGGCATATATTTTTTTACACATTGTTGCATATTACTTGCTAATATTTTGCATGTAGATTCATGAGAAATATTTATCAGTATTTTTCTTCTCTTATAATATCTTTGTCTTGTTTTCATATTTAGTAATGCTGGCTTCATAGATAGGTAAGAAAGAATTCTTTCTGCTTCTAGGTTCTAAAGGAGATTGTAGAGAACTGGTATAATATTTGGTATTTTTCATTAGTAAATGTGTCTGAGTCTGACGCTTTCTGTTTTGGGAGATTTTTAATTATTGATTCAATTGCTAATTGCTATAGACTTTCAAATTGTGTAATCTAATTTTTATAATATTCTTCTGAATATATTATTATGCTGCTTTCATTATCTTTATGAAATTATTTAAAAATAAGTTATTTGAAGATTTTATTTTCATTTAAAAATGGGCATTAGTATTTTAACAATTCATTAAAGTCCAAAATATGTATGCATGGTCTACTTAATTTCTTTTTAAAAAAATTTTTTTAGGTGTAAATGGACACAATGCCTTTATTTTATTTGTTTATTTATATGTGGTGCTGAGGATTGAACCCAGGACCTCACATGTGCAAGGCAAGTGTTTTACCACTGAGCCACAACCCCAGTTCCTACTTAATTTCTTACATAATACTGTATTCATAAATATCTGTTGGATACATCAATGGAAACCAAATGAAGATGTGTGCCTATGATAAACATCTCATTTTGAATTTTCCTTATCATAAACTTTTCTTATTGGCATTGAAAACTCCATAAATTCTATTTATTTATTTATTTATTTATTTGTTCTAACACAGGATAGCAGAATGCAGATTGCTTCATGGTACACAAATGGAGCACAGTTTTTTTACTGCTCTGGTTGGACATGAAGTAGAGTCCACGATCCGTCACACATGTAAATTCCATAGATTATCGGGGAAGCAGTAGGATAAGTCTATGCAGAAGCTGCAGTTCCACCCTCAGAGCCTTTTTTCCACTCATTCCCATGGTGATGGGGGCATTGAGAAGGTTGCCATGTAGCATGTGAAGGAATGCAAGGCAGCTGATGCTGAGCCCACTGCCTCCTCTTCTTCCTCACGCTGGAGGGTTCCCAGAGATGCGGACTGTTAAGCAGAGCGTTTCATATCAGACAAGGCCGGAGAAGCATTTGAGCACTTAAAAAGAAGCAATCTCAGGAAAGTGAGAGCTTTGAATATTATGGGGAAGTCAAAACATATAAATGAAGATCTTAGTATACTTGAATATAGAATATCAGCTGTGAATAAGCATATATAAATTCTTTCAATGTGTCATATATTTTATTTTGGAGGATGAATTAAGCTGAAAAGACAAAAAAGTATAACGATGATGATAAATAGCATGAAGAAAGATGGAGAGGCCAGAAGACCACAGGATAAGTGGGGAAGAGATTATGATATCTTGACAGAAGGGTAAGGTGTGGAAAGGGAGTCTTGGGGCTGTTAGAAAGAGCCTTGAAAACATTTTAATGAAATAGGGACAAAATCTAAGTTTTCTTAGCACAGAAAACATGATGACAGTCCCTTTATCGGAAAAAAGAAAGAATTAAAAATGTATCTGTTGTATACAGGTTCATATTATCTGTTTTCTTATTTTTATTGAAAGAAATAGTCTGTAACAGAACAATCTAGATTCCACGTTATTAAGTATTTATGCAGTGAATAGTCGTAACAAGAACTCAGGGAACACTTTCATCACAGACGTGACATAAAAGTTCAAAACTGACTGACCATAGAGTCTCAAATAACCTCCACAGCTTTGTTGCAAAGCAGAGATTTTAAAACAACACTCCCTTAAATTTGTGTAGTCTTGTTTTTCCAATTAGCTGAAGGTGGAAGTCCATTATACCATTCTCAGAATTCTTCAAGAGATGAAATAGATATAGAAATTAATACTCTCCATTTACAGCCAAAGGAGCCTGCATCAGGAGGCTGAGTGCTCTTTGCTAGGCTGATGGAAGCCATACTGGAATCTAGGCCTGAGTCTACCTTCTGTAACCTTATGGTATTGGTGTGCCAAGGGTTTTGAGTTCTAGATAATATCTGTTCTATCATTCCTGCAAAATAATCTAAATTTATATTAAAATACCTTATCTTGTTAACTCCCTCTATTTAACATAATAATTTCATAGGACAAAAGATCTGAGAGTTATGAACTATACTGAGAAATTAAATTGCTGAGTTTAGAGAAGCAAAGTTTAAGGGTCGCTGGGTAAGAACGGGAATTATTAGGTCATCTTTGGCATACTCTCTTCCACTGTGGATAAAGGGAGGCTTTAATCATTTTCAGAGTTTTACACTAACTAGGAAGTCCTGATTTTTTTAACCACCATAAATCACAAAAATACGTACTATAGACATTCCATTACTGAGAAGGAGCAAGCTTCACATGCAGAGCGCTGAGGTGCTGACCCCAGCTGGAACAGACACGGTCACTGCATCTGAGGTGGCTCTGTGCTCCCAAGGAAGGACAAGGGCCCAATCAGCTGAGCATCCCCTCCTAGTCTCCTTAAGGAAGCCACATGAGTGACCCTCACCCCTTCAGTCTCTTGAGCCTGATGGATCCCCTTCATGTTAAATCTAGAATTTAGCAAAGGGAGTCCAATTTGTGTCTTAAGGTTTATTTTCCATATGTAATATTTTGTCCTTATGTATTCACTGTCATAAATGGCACTTGGAAATACTACTTACGCATTTTCTACTCCGCCCCTAACCAACAATTTGCATGGCTTTGAAAATCAATGTCTTACATTTTCTTTGCCCTCCACTCCCTCTCCCTCCTCGCCTATGATGTGGTTTCGCCGTCTTTTCTGTAATGTGGTTCCCCCACTTGGCACGTCCTCCTTCCTCCCTCACTCACTTATAGATTTCCCCATTTCTGCTCTCCCAGAAGGACCTATCCCCACGATCAGGACTTTGGGATTCTTTCTTTCCCTTTTAACGATACCCGATGAGTTCTCCTTTAAATCTCCATCTTGTCTGCCCCTCCCAGGGCCCTTCCTGAGCCTCTTCCAGCTAATCTCAACCATCTGGGCCCAAACCTCTGGCTACAATGCATCCCATTATTAGGAGGTACTTCATCCTCAGATGCTTCTTTTGGAGAGACGCCATGTTTTCCTACCCTGGTTTAAATTAGGACTTTGGGGGTGCTTGCAGAACTTACTGCACAACGTCTTCATTTTGCTCTAGTTTTATTTCTTGCAGTCCCTTGATGAGTTTTTTTCATATCCTCCTCCTCAAACTTAACAGCTTCTAACTTGTAGATATTGATTTACTTCCACATTTCCTTGTACTTGTTTTATCTTCCTTTGTCTAAATGCCTTTATTTTACCTTATATTCTCTGCTTTCCATTTCTATAAACCCCAAATATTCAGCAGAAAAGTACCTTTTCATTATTCCTAAAGGTTAAATTATAAAAAATGTAAAGTGCTGTGGACTTCATTCAGTAAAATGCACTAAATATTTGCTCTTATATTTTGTAATAACTGCTACACCCTTAATCATTTAGCTTTGCTTATTTTCAAGAACAACTATTTATAATTTCTCATCATGCTCACTTTCCTGTATCTGATTTCTAATTTGTCTTTTGATCTTCTTTGCACTTTCCATATAAATAAGATTTTTGCTCTTCTTTTTGATTTAATGGCTCTTCTTACCATTTCTTGCATAGGTTAGTGATTCTTTTTTAAATACCTGTTCCTTCCCCCCATTATCATTTGTGTTTTTAAATAATTCAGAATAAATATCTTTTGCTTTTATAACTTACATACTAATTCTTTTGATTTTTCTAAACTTAACCTAGTTCCACATTTAAATGCTACGTATGCATGCTATCTGTCATGTCTATTCGTTTCTAATAACTTCTGAGCAGGGAAGGTTAAGATATAAAGTTTTTGGAGTAACTTAAAAGGTAAGAACTTAGTCTATGTATTAGAAAGAAAATCATGGCTTATCTGATTCAAATTCATAATGTAAACTTCACTGATACACTGTGGTATGTCTTACAGAAATCTAGCCCCCTTATCCCTTTATGTATCTTTTTTGTGTACATTTCAAATCAAGCTGTCATTCCTTCCTAGCAGTAAGGCCATTAGACTCTGGTTTTCCTTTGTCCTACTGGTATTAAGAAAATGTAAGATCTGTACATAAATCGGCAAGAAGGTAGGGTGCAGCCATATGTGTGCCCAATCCATAACAGACACATAAGCATGAGTGCACAGTAATTGTCTAGAAGGCACTCTCTGGATGAGTGGAGGTCTGGCTGTGGCAGGGTCTGGGGTCTTGTTTGTGTCTTCCTGTATTTAAGTGCATGCACAGGTATGGGTGCCTGTGTGCATGCAGGTGTGACTTACCTGCAGTGGTTATGATCTTCCCACCCTAACCCTGTTCTTGAGTAACCAGCTGAGTCACTGTTATTAGGAATGAGATTCACTTCTGACATGATGGGTGAACTTATTTTCATCCTACTGATCCCATAGCAGTTTCCTATCAGCTAACAATAAAGAAAAGAAGTCAGTCGGGATAGTCTACAAAGGACCCAGGGATTCTTTGTTTCCCTTCCCCTTCGAGCCTGCACCTTTTTCCTGAGCTCATGTGGAGTTGATGCCATTTGCTGGGAACACTCTCCTCCCTGAAAACACCATCGTTCCTGCAGGGTGAAGTCAGCTGGCGATATTCCTCTTAGTGAAGAGTCAGCCCCCTTCCTTTTTGATCCTGCTTCTTTTTATAACACACACACACACACACACGTGCACACATGATGTGTGTGGTTTTCATTTCAGGGTGCTAGAGTCAGTCTTCAAAGGCATGAATCAAGAGGCATAAATCAATCATTACCTGAGGAACAGACCTTGGGTACTGCAATCACACAGAATCAATGTCATCCTGAGCCTTTCCGTTCTGCTTTGTCCACACCTGTAGGAGGTTTAACGGTCCTTAAAGGGTCCTTGGATCACAGACTTCCCTTGTACCACCCACTCCTGCCACCTCCCTTTTTTTCTTGGCCCCCCCTCATTGCCCAACATTACCCCCCATTTCCTCATGCACCTCTTCATCTGAAACTGCACTGTAGTCTGCTCATACCAATCTCCTCGGATAGCCTTTTCCACTTCATTTATTAAATACTGCTTATTTACGTCTTCAGGATGCCATAGAATTCTCTCCTGTCTTCTCCCATGAGAAACAAGAAATGGCTTTCCTTCTCTCCTCATGCATTTTTTCCTTCTCTTCTCATCCCTCACATGCTTCCGGCCAAAATGACCTTTTCTGAGGTAGGGGAGCTCCTTCCTCTCCTGGTGCCCAGCTGACCTACAGGCCCGTCCTGCACTGTGTCTCCCTCCAGCCCTCCACTGGCCTTTCCCTTCCGTGTCTAAGTCCCCACCGCTCCAGCCCACCTGCTCTGGACACACTGCTCTGGACCTTTCCCTTCCCCTCCGAGCCTGCATCTTTTTCCTGAGCTCATCTGGAGCAGACCTCACCAGCTTGCTTCTTTCATTTCCCACTTCATTGATTATAATTTGCTCTTGGTGGATATGATAATGGTGACCTTCTTTCAGCACAATTATGTATAATTTTTGCTTTCCTTATAAACCAGTTTGTCTTCGCACATCTCTGAGGTCCCTGTGTTGGTGACAGCCTTTGCCTATCTCTAAACAGAAACGATTTGGCCAATAGTAAGCTAGCTTCCCCTGGCCACTGCCATCCTTCCCGCACAGAATTCCAAGTGCTGGCCTGGTTGTTAGCAATGCTAATCTCCCATGGTACCTTCTTGTGGCACACAGTGTCTCTCACAGCCACGTTTTGTTCCTGAGCAGGAGGAGCAGACCTTGGGTAATGCAATCACACAGTTTTCCAGTCTCGCTTCCCACTTTCTCCTGAGTCATTCATTCTCTAAACCAAATTCAATTACTCTGCTGATCTAAAACTCATGTCAAACTCCGTATTTCCAGGGACTAAAATTACTGTAAATATGTCCCTGGGGTTCCACCCAACCAAATTAATAATTAGGGTCCCAATAGCATTACATGCCCCAGCACTGGTTTCTGTGACGGAAGCAAAACCTCGTAACTTATCTTTGATTGAAGGGAATCTTCCATTTACCTAGAGGGAAAGCAAAGATTCTTTTCTCCCTTTCTTTCATATTTTGCACCTCTCATCCTGAGCAAAGACAAAACAGATGAGTAGACAATACTATTGTTCTGCCTGCGTTCCTTCGTTTTGCTCAGTTCTTTCATTTGCTCTGTAGATCTCTGCTTGGGTGCATTCACTGGCAGGGAATTCCCACCAGCCTCTGAACCAGGGTGAGGCAGCCGAATGCCCTGGGCGCCTGGCCTGCTTCCGTCTCTCCAGGAACACTCCTCTCTGTGTGGCCATAGGACAATCCTCTGTCTCCAGACCTTGGGGTGGGTTTGTCCTATGGAATTCCTTGACTCTCTTCCTGTCCTCCTCTCCTCCCTTCCAGCCCCATCCTTGGCCTTCTGTGCCTTGGATGATAACCACCACTAGCTGGGTGCATCCCCTCTGCCTGGGTACCCCTTCCAGGAGAAACAGCTCACTCCTCTTTTCTTGGCCCTGGAGGAGGCTCTGATTGCCTGGCCCTCCCCTTTTCTTCCCTCAGGGATTTATCAGGGGAGATGATGCCGGGCTTTCAGTAGCCACGTAGAGTTATGTTCCTGCAGAAGAGGAGAAAACTGATAAGCAGAAGGGGAAAGGGAAGGGAGGAAGGAGAAAAGCAAGCAGCTGAACAGAGAAGGGCAGAACAAAGATCCTTTGTCTATGCAGAAGTAGAGAGATAGGCAAAACCCCAGATTTTAAGTTCCTCTGCCCATTTTCTTGTGAAACTCATACTCCAATGAAGTCATGTTATTTGCACAAACTGGGTTTGATGGATTTTGTTATTTCTTTCATCCAAATGCCCCCTTATCAAGATATATCTCTCAAAGCAAAGCAAGCATATTACAACTAGCAATCATATCCGTCATCATAAGAGCAATAGTTTATTCTGCACTTATTATGTGCCAAGCACAGTCTAACATACTTATGCCTAAGCCCCTTCTCAGAGCTATCTTGTGATACAAGAGTTATTTGATAGGCATGTTGACACACAACAGATTTGGCAATGTGTCCAGTTACACGGCTTCTGAGTGGAGCCAGTTCTGTCTTCTTCCCCAAGCCCTTGTTCTCACGTATGTGCCATGAGCCTTACAGGAAAAGCATTCTAAACAGTTCATGGCACGTTTATGTCACAGTTCAAGATTCTTACATCATTAAGTTGCATCAGTTTTTGGACAGGAGCAGCTACAGCGTCTCTAAATTGACATAGCTAAACAGTGTCAAGCGGGTTCACAGAAATCCCCACTACTCAGAGGGTAGTGGTGGATTGGGGAGCTTGGACGTCACAGGGGATTTGATAGAAATGCAAAGCTTTGGGCAGGTTGCACCACGCTTACAATTATAGGGTAGGGAGATTCCACCTGATGATCTGTAAGAATACTCCAGTTTAAGAATCTGTGCTAAGAAATCCAAAATTGGTACTGCAGGGTAAGATGCTGTTTTATTTATATAGTTATTATCACCGTGACACACCTCTCAGTGAACTATCTAGCTAGAGTATCCAGTATCTAGAAGTAAGGATGAAAGACAAAGAAAAGCAAAACCAATTTGAGACCAAGGTTTTGCTGAGCTTTATGGCTGAAACCGTGAGAATGTGTCAAGAAGAAGCTGATGATTTCTCAGCCTGAAATTACTTAGTCTCTATTTTGGTTCTTTTCCAACTAAAAGTAACTGTTTGTATACTGATTTTTATTTTATTTGACTCTATAGACAAATGAAAGCACTGTTTCCCTTTACCAGGCAGAGCCTGTGGGAACTCTTCTTGGCTACCCAGATGGGTTTCAGGAGGGTGCCTACAGTCTGCGTGTCACAGGAGACTCCTCCTGCCAGACTTCCTGAACATCAAACTAAAGGGAGCATCAGAATCATTTATAACAACTGATACAATATTCATCTATTTAAAGTTGTTTCACACTTTTGGTGCTACTGGGAAAACCTGGGTACCAGCTCTTCAGAGAGCCAAATTTCAGAACCGGAAATGTGACTCCAACTGCTTTTCGCTTTCATCTTGGTAAGTGTGAAAAACTCAGGATATAATTGAGATTAACACACCAGGAATTAAGCCGGTGGAAGAGGAGACTTACATAAGGAAAGTGGGGGTATTTACTTTTACACATAATTTTCATTTGCTTAATTGGAATTTAGCTCATGTACTCAGAATATAGGTGTATCCAAAGTCACTAATTATTTATTATGGATATGATATTGATGACAAATAACTCTCATTCTTCATGGAAAACCCATGGGTCATGATTATAGCGTGTGATCTCCGATTTTGAATATCTGGCTTTAGAGATGTTTGTGTACCCACAGGCTTTATGAATATTTCTTAAACAAAGCATATGAAGAAACGGAGGAGAAATGGCATATAACATGGAATTTCTAATCTTTTCATCATAAATTTTCTAAGACAGGCCTTTGTGTAAACAGGAGGTCAGAGACAAAAAGCAAAGGAAATATTTATCAGACAAGCTTGACTAGACAAAAGCTGGTACTCAAGCCAGGGCTGGAGTCTTCTATTCTTGATTTAACAGAATGGTTTTGAAGGTCCTAGGAAAGGCCCGGAACTGGAAACACTAGAGCTGACGTCCACAAAGAAAGGGGAGCATGTCCTTTAAAAGGGAACTTAAAAAGCAGTCCCCTCCAGTACTTCCTTAATTTGGGGGGCCAAGAAGGTTCCTGAGAGTCAAAGGTTTAGGTGGCCTGGCATTTTCCAGTTCTGTACAGTGACAGGGCACAGATAGGAAACCTGGCTTGGGGTTATCTGCTGAGGGTCAGATACTCAACAGGGACATGACTGACCACAGGATCACATAGCCTGTGTCCTCTCACCACCTGGTAGACCCGCCTCTCTGCACATCACCTGGACAGAGCCCTCAATACTGGACAGGGCTTGCTCCCTGGGACCTCTAGGGGTCTCCTCCCTCTCCCGTGCAATGCTGGCTCTCCCCTCCTCTGAGCAGGGCACTGCTCCCTCCAGCACTCCCTCTCCTCCACCTCCATCATCTCCCCCTCTCCTTCCTTTCTCTGTTCCTTCTTACCCCTGATCTCTTGCTCTTTTCCCTTCTTTCTGACCTTGGATCCACCTTACCATCTGTATTCCGTGTCCTACACCCTGATGCATTTCCTAATGAAATAAATTTCAGGAAGGCTTCTGATGGGAAGCATGACGAGGGGGTGATTTATTGGAGCAGCTGGGCCCTCCTGGCAGAGGACAGGCCTCTCCTTCTGGCTCAGGAGGTCCTGTCTCCGGTCCTCTCTGCGTTAACCACCTCTCCTCCTCCTTCATTAGAGGACATCCTGGGAATTCCCTAGACTTCTTTTTCCTGTTTTCTTCTTGGGAAAGGGAAGGGTCTATTTTTCCTAAGATGGACCCTAAAATGTTATCATACCTTATATTTAAAGGAATCCCCTAAGTATCTCCTGTCTCTTAAATCAGGGTGTCCTTGTCTCTCACCTGCAAAATCACAATAATCTTCCTGCCCATGGGCTCTCCCTTGTTCATATTGCCACCAGCATTGGGGTTAGTATTTGTGGTATTTATTTAGTCAAGTTCCATGCTTGTTGGTCTCAGCCTTAAAGTCAGGAAATTTTATATTCACAGAAGTTCTACAGAGATATCATAACTAGAACAGCATCGTATTGGCACTGAAATGGGCATGAAGACCAACAGGTCAGAAGAGAAGAGAGAGATGAACCCACATAGATAAGAGTTATCTCCTACTAGTCAGAGGCGCCATAAACATACACTACAGAAAAGACAGCAGCCTCTTCAACTGGAAATCCTTATGCATCAGAGTGAATTTTAACGCCCCCTCTCTCACCTGCACAAAGCTTAACTCAAAGTGGACCAAAGACCTAGAAATTAAACCAGAAACCTTGCACCCGCTTGAAGAAAATGTAGGCCCAACACTCCAACATGTCAGCTCAGGAACTGACTTTCTTAAGACTCCTAAAGTGCAAGAAGTAAAATCAAAAATCAATAAATGGCATAGCATCAAACTAAAAAGCTTTTTCACAGCAAAGGAAATAATCAAGGGCATGAAGAGACAGCCTACAGAATGGGAGAAAATCTTTGCCACCTGCACCTCATATAGGGTGTCAATTTCCAGGATATAAAAAGAACTCATAAAGCTTAACACACACACACACACACACACACACACACACACACACACACAATAAATAAATAAAATTTAAAAAATGAACCCAAACAATAAATGGGCAAAGGAACGGAACAGACACTTCTTAAAAGAAGAAACGCGATCAGTCAACAAATATATGAAAAAAAATGTTCAGCATCACTAGTAGTTAGGGAAATGCAAATTGAAAATATACTGAGATTTCATCTCACTCCAGCCAAAAATGTAATATCAAGAATACAAGCAATAATAAGTGTTGGCAAGGGTGTGGTGAAAAGGGTACACCCACACATTGTTGGTGGACCTACAAATTTGTGCAACCATTCTGAAAGCATAATGGAGCTCCTCAAACAACTAAGAAAGTAACCACCATTTGATCCAGTTATTCCACTCCTTGATATATACCCAAAGGATTTAAAATCAGCACATTACAGTGACAACCACATCAATGTTTAAGGCAACACCATTCATAATAGCTGAGCTATGGAGCCAACCTAGATGCTGATCAATAAATGGCATAGATGAATAGATAAAGAAAATGTGGTATATATATACACAATGGAATATTATTCAGCTATAAAGAAGAATGACTTTATGACTATTGCCAGTAAATGGATGGATCTGGGGACAATCAGATTAAGTGAAAAAGCCAATCCCCCAAACCAAAGGACCAATGTTTTCTTCGACATGTGAATGCTAATCCACAATAAGTGAAGGGAGGGAAGAATAGAAGTTCATTGGATTTGATAAAGGGGAATGAAGGGAAGGGAAGGGGATAGGAAAGGGAGAGAAGTAGAATGAATCTGACTTAACTTTCCTATGTGTATATATGAATTCACCACAGTGAATATCACCATTGTGTACATCCACAGAAATTAATTGAAAAAATAATAAATAAAAATAACTATTAGAGGCCAGGTGGGTGGTGCAAGTCTATAATCCCAGCAGCTTGGGAGGCTGAGACAGGAGGACCACAAGTTCAAAGTCAGCTTCAGCAAAAAGTGAGCCTCTAAGCAACTCAGTGAGACCCTGTCTCTAAACAAAATACAAAATAGGGCTGGGGGTGTGGCTCAGCGGTCGAGTGCCCCTAGTGTTTAATCTCCAATACGGAAAAAAAAAAGAAAAGAAAAAAAAAATACTATTGGTAAATGGCAGAAAGATCAACAGAAAAAGGGAGCAGGAGATGGGGAGAGGGAAGGGGAAGGAGAGGTATGTGGGGGGGTCTTAATTAAAATAGATGTAGTCCAAGCCCTCAGTCATAATTTTTCAATGTTTTCATCACCAGTGATCAGTGGACTTCTTGTGACGTTGAAGAAGGAAAAAGAAGAGATTTGCTAAAGATATATTAAAAATTTGCATAGACCCCAGAAGGCAGCCTTTCTGTTCATGAGTCTAAGGCTGAAGAGAGCGACTGTTGACTTCTAATAATTGTCAATCTTTTTTTGGATTATATATAAATTATTGGCTATTTTTATAAAACCTATATGGAAAACTAGAATATTTGGGAAGCATCTTAATCACTCTTTGCCTTCAAGATCTGGCTCCGAGTGTTCCCTCTTGGTACAAGGATTCTGTGAGCAGCCTCTCTAGACCCTGCCTGTCCTGGCCACTGAAAGTTCAGCCCCCCAACGGTGTCCGTCATTTGTCTGCATCTCATCCCAGGATAGTGAATAAGAGGATTGGTTTTTAGAGAGAGGTGGCCTAAGTTTGCTTAGGTTGCCTTGTGTTCATGGGTTGCTCAGGAACCTCTCTGTCCCTGAGTTTCGTCACTTATAAAATAGGGCTACAACAGCCAACTACTGTCACAGGATAGTTTAAAGAATAAAGCAGATGGTGTTCCTTGGGTGTGCATAGTACTGAATATGAAGGCGAGGTCTTTTGTTGTTGTGGTCTTCCACACTGTTACTGTGGTTAACTGTGTACCGTCTGCATTTCCAGCTAAATTATAAATACCTCGAAGGCAGGAAACTTACATCTGTAGAGATGGAAAGGTAGGACGACCTTCCTCTGCCATCATAAGGGTCAGGGTCCAGCCACCTATAACAAAGGCAGGTTAACATGAGAAGAACATAATTTTTTAAACAAAGTTTTATACGTCATGGGAGCCTTCAGACATGAAGACCCAAGGACCCAGGGAAAACTGTTTTTATGCTTAGGTTTGATGGAGACTGTTGACAGTCCACAGAAAGGTGACTGGATTAAAGAGGCATTATCTAGGGGTAACTGGAGGAGGGAAACCCCGCAGGTCTCCTGGGGATGATTCTTGCCTCGGCCTGCAGCACTTCTTTCTCCCAGCTGTGGGGCATGGAGAGTCTTCAGGGAGAAGGGAGACAGTCACTTTCTGGGTCTTAGGGCTGGCTTTGGGGGGAGCAGAGCTCTAGAATCTAGACCAACCTTGGGGAAGAGAATTTCTGGTTTTAGGAGAGAAAGAAGAGGGAGAGACAGATAGGCAGGAGAGGGTCAGAGAGAGACTGACTGCATCTGAAACCTTCCAGTCTCCTCCAGCTCAGAGTATTCAGCCCAGCAGAGGGTCACACTTTAGGGTATCTGAGCCCCAACACATTGCTATTCAAATAAAAAGCAAATTAACACGGAATGTTGGAGATAAATATCCAAAGACACAGAGCACATTTGTTAGATCTTTATAGATACCTTAAGGTATCTCTAATTGGTACTCAATATGAATACTGATAGGTTGTTGTTAGGTCTTGGGTGACATTTTATTATTTTTCCTTCATTAAATCTTGCTCAATGTTTTACCAATAGAAAGTTATGAACAAATGATTACTGAAGTTACACATAACTTATTCTCATAAAGCACAATTTTGAATTAAATTGAACTTCTGCATTATAAACATGAAGTTGAATATGCTGAAGGTAAAAAGCAGTATTTACAATAATCTAATCTTTTAAAATATTTTTTAAAAGATTTAATATTTTAAATTTTAAATATTTAAAATACTTTAATATTTTAAAAAAGAGTTTTAAAAAGTCCACAGTGTAGTTAGGGATAACTACCTCCCCCATATTCATACTAAGATATACGTTTTCTGAAAGTACTTAATGGTGCTTGGACTAAAGTGTACATTTCAGAGCACTCACATTATGACTTAATGCACTTGCAACAGGCTTCTGAGTGAGCTTACATATTGCTTAGGTTGCAAATGAAAAATGAGAAAGAGTGGGGAGTTAATACCTATGGAGCACTCTTAATGGTTTTCTTTGCTTCCTTTTCCTTCTTTTATGGTGCTGGGGATTGAACTCAAGGCCTCACATAGGTAAGAGAAGTGCCCTGCCACTAAGCTGCATCCTCAGCCCTTTTTTGAAAAAATTTAAATTTCAAGATAGGGTTTCCTTAAGTTGTTGAGGCTGGCCTGGAACTTAGGATCCTCTTGCCTCAGCCTTCAGAGCAGCTGAGCTTCTCCGTTTCCCTCTTAATAGACTCTCCATCCATCCCAGCTAGTACTGTGCTCATCAAACAACAGAAAGATGTTTCACATCAAAGCTCAGAATTATGGGATCATTTAATTTGAAGACAGGAAGGAAACATACAAGATAACCAAGATAGCCATCAGAACAGCAACATTTTGACACTTTACTTGGGATATGACTCTGTTTTTGTCAAGTTATTTTCATGCTATTCCTTTCAGGGCAACTCACCATACCAGCTAGTCCCTTCCCCTGTGCGGGGGAGTGGAGCTTTCACATGTTCCTCTAAAGGACCATCCCGGGCTCTGTGGATTATCCTTTCTGGTACTGAAGCCAGGAGTTTGTGGTTTTCCTCTTGAGTATTTTTTAAGGGGCACCATCATATAACATTAGGGGCGAGAAATGCATTTTATTCTTGGACTTTATTCCTCTTAGAGAATAAATAGCCTTTGATAATAAGTCACAAAAATAATGCATTATTAATTAGTAAATTGTCAAGAAGTACTGTTTGATTCCGTTCCTGTATGGGTCCATTTACATTTCAATTGAGCTTACGCACATTTTTGAAATGCATTGTCGAAAATTTGGATACTTTCAAATAAAATTAAAAAATGAGTTTCTCAACAGATGCAGTGATTAAGGATGTCCTTAATTTTTAAGATACTTACTAGAGGTATTTATAAGTAATCCCGTTAAAGAAAAGTTAAAGAAAAATATGATCGGTAATAAAGCCCCAAACCTTACCTGAATCACTTTGTTCTTTACATTTATTTACATAAAGCTGATTTAATATTCAAATTACTTCCAAAAGGTTTAATTTTGATTTTTTTTTTCTTTCTTTCACTGGAGTTTCTGATCTTTTGGTTAGACGTGCTCCAGGGAGGATTTGGAGAGCTGGCTTGTCTAGGGGGTGTTAACTGAAGCAGCGTGTAAATCAACTCCGGGAATTTTCACCAGGCTCCTTTTGACTTCTCACACTGACGTGACTCGTGACGTCGGTTTATTTGCTTAATTAAGAGGAGAAAAAAAGTACTGTAATAAAAAGGGGAAAAACAGAAACAAACCCCGAGAACGCCTGGAGGCTGGCACGCCCCTCCCAGCCCCCTCTGCTTCCGCGGAGGCTCGCGCCGTCCCAGCAGCAGGTTCCTACACGTGCCAGGCTCAGCCAGGGCGTTCCCGGTTGGGGACCGCGAGCTGCGGGAGCCTGCGAGCACCTGGCCTGGGCTGGGCCCCGGACACTTGTGCTCCAGGACGCCAGCTCGGGCGCCAGCGGCGCGGGGCTCGGCGGTCCGGAGGGTTTCCTGTGTGTCAGCAACTTCACTTCGCGGAGGAGCGCGCGCGGGTAGTCGCTGGCCAGCAGCCGCCTCTGACCCAGTGCGCCCCTCGCTCTCGCGGCCGACTCGGGTGGCGGCGGCCGGGCGAGGACTGAACGCACCCGGGCGCTGCAGAGACCCGCTCGCCCTAGACGACCGCCCAGGCGGCGCCCCCGAGAGCGCGGGCGGCCGGGCGCAGGCACGCCCCTCGCCTCCCCGCGAGCGCGGACTCCGCCCACCGCGCCGGGAGCTCGGCTCTCCCGCCTGCCCTCTGCACTCGGGACTGAGCCGGGCCTCGGGAAGGGCCCCGACCTGCACGGACCGCGAACAGGACGCGACCCAGAAGGGCACGGGTCGGCGGCCTCGCGTGCACCGATGACCCCAGCGGCCGTGCGCAGGGTGAGGGGGGCCGGACGGAGCGGCGCGGCGCCCTGAAGCCTAGCTCCTCGCCTCCAAGGTAGGGAGGAGGAAGATGCCCGAGCGAAGTTGATCCCTGGGAGAAGGAGGCTGGGGTGCGCCCTCCCTACGCCGGACCTCAGCCGAGCGAGTTCGGCCTGACGTGCCTGCGCACCAGGCGTGCTCGGCAGCGCGGACCCGCGGACCCTCGGGAAAGCGCAGTTGGAAAGTTGGCGGCTGCGGTGCCCTGTGCGCCCTGTTGTGTAACCTCGGCGCCGCCAGCCGGACGGGGAAGTTGTCGGCCCGCCCAGCCGCCGGGTTCAGGCGCTGCCCCGGGCCGATTTCATGGCCCCGGGGGGACGCGCGGCTGCAGCCGGCGTGGGCGAGCCCCCGCGCGCACCCTTCTGCGGGGACCCCGCGCGCGCGATCCCTTCCGCTCGCGGGCTTTGCCGATGCTCCCTGCGCCCTTTGCCACCTCCGCCCTCTCGCCGCCGCTTCCCCCTCGAAGCTGCCGCCTAAGTCGGGGAGAAGAGAATGACAGAGGTGCTGTGGCCGGCTGTCCCCAACGGGACGGACGCTGCCTTTCTGACCGACCCGGGCTCGCCTTGGGGAAACAGCACGGTCGCCTCCGTCGCCGCCGTCACCACCTCCTTTAAATGTGCCCTGACCAAGACGGGCTTCCAGTTCTACTACCTGCCGGCCGTCTACATCTTGGTGTTCATCACCGGCTTCCTGGGCAACAGCGGGGCCATCTGGATGTTCGTGTTCCACATGAAGCCGTGGAGTGGCATCTCCGTGTACATGTTCAACTTGGCGCTAGCCGACTTTCTGTACGTGCTGACTCTGCCCGCGCTCATCTTCTACTACTTCAACAAGACCGACTGGATCTTCGGGGATGCCATGTGCAAACTGCAGAGGTTCATTTTCCACGTGAACCTTTATGGCAGCATCCTGTTCCTGACGTGCATCAGCGCGCACAGGTACAGCGGCGTGGTGTACCCGCTCAAGTCCCTGGGCAGGCTCAAGAAGAAGAACGCCGTCTACATCAGCGTGCTGGTGTGGCTCATCGTGGTGGCCGCCATCTCGCCCATCCTCTTCTACTCCGGCACCGGGGTCCGGAAGAACAAAACCGTCACCTGCTATGACACCACCTCCGATGAGTACCTACGAAGTTACTTCATTTACAGCATGTGCACGACCGTGGCCATGTTCTGTGTCCCGTTGGTGCTGATCCTGGGCTGTTACGGATTAATCGTGAGAGCTTTGATTTACAATGACCTGGACAACTCGCCTCTGAGGAGGAAATCGATTTACCTGGTGATTATCGTGCTCACCGTTTTTGCTGTGTCTTACATCCCTTTCCATGTGATGAAGACGATGAACTTGAGGGCCCGGCTGGATTTTCAAACCCCAGAAATGTGTGCTTTCAATGACAGGGTGTATGCCACTTATCAGGTGACAAGAGGTCTAGCCAGTCTCAACAGCTGTGTGGACCCCATCCTCTATTTCTTGGCTGGAGATACTTTCAGAAGGAGGCTCTCCCGAGCGACCAGGAAAGCTTCCAGAAGAAGTGAGGCAAATTTGCAATCCAAGAGCGAGGACATGACCCTCAATATTTTATCGGAGTTCAAGCAAAATGGAGATACGAGCCTGTGAAGGCACCAGAATCCCCAAACACCTCACTTTTGTAACATGGTAGGATGCTTAACACAGCCAACTGCTTTCTCCCCTTTAAGTTTCTAGTTAAGAGAAAATTCAAAGAATGTAGTGAGTTAAAGGGGGAGGGGGATTGAAATGCCCTCCTCTGCGCTTAGCTCATTCAGGTTTCTTTTCAGTCCCCCTTCTTACCGACTAGTAGTCTATATAATAAAACAACACTACCTAGTTAAACTTTTACTTTCTTGTCTGCCTTTAAAATTTACAAGCTTTTCTAGTTAAAGTGTGTGTGCACATGAGAAGTAGAGCTATTTAATATTAATAATTTCTCCAGGAAAACTAGCCACCTGAAACTTGAGTTTGTGACTTATCCTGGTTTATTGTTTTTAATAACCCATGGCATGAACAAATTGAAAATCCATATCCTCAAACATACTTAGAATAGTTTAAGAGTCCTTAACTGAGTTCGTCCAGTAAAGAATGAACACAGCTGACTGAATTTCTTTGGGGAATTGAATAGAAGAGTAAAGTCAATGAACATAAAAACCTGAAAAGTGTTTATTTTCCAGTTATTTCTGGAAAACTGCTTAAGACACCCTGGATACTAAATGTCTGATGGTAGAGGTCTGCATATATTATCTTACTGGAAAAATGCATTTGAAGTAATCAAAGTGCATGTATTTTCCTTGTAAACACCATGAGCCCTGCTAGACTTCCTGAGATAATGAGTTTACTTGCACACTGCTGGGCAGTGTCTTAGGACTTTGTTTGTGTTCCAGGACAAGTGCTCACTCACATCTGTGAAAACAAGTTTACAAAAATCACAGTAAAATTACAGAGTAAAGTTTGAGTGCAATTGAAGAATGGTTAGCAAATTGAGGGATGGGGGCAGTGTTTTCAGAAGTGGGTGGTTGAGGGTCGCCCACAATGCAGAGGCTACAATTATACTCTTAAACAGGAGGCAAGTGAGGGTGGGAAAAGAACTTCTAGAACAAGGACTATAAAACCATGGTGGAAAGGTTCTTTTTGCTTCTTCAGAGTGTTTGAAAACTTTAAATGCAATATGAAAAGGAGAAGTAGGCAGAATTTGTATGGGTTGTATTGATGGAATAGGAAGCTAAAGTCTTCCTGAATCTTACATCCTAACATTTAAAGGAAAATGAAACATGTGGAAAGAGAAGTATGGGAAATTAAATTGAAGCATCTAAGGTATCATTGCACTGAAAAGCAAACTGTAGAAAGTACTAATCAAACTGTAGAATGAAGGACTGGGATATGATATGCCCGGTGGTTAAGTGCCTGGGTTCAATCCCTGGTACCAAAAAAAAGAAAGAAAAAAAAAATCCAAAGCAAACTATAGAATGAAGAGGGCCTGGCAGTGTTTTCTTATTCTGCCAGGCTTTAATGAAAATTTTGTAAAATAGTTCAACAACTTAAATAATAATTTTCAGTGAATACTGAATTACTACATTTCTAGCCCTTGACATGCTCAAATGTTGTATCGTGGGAATGATGAGAAAATATAACAACCACAAATAAACAAACCCAACATCCAAGGAGTTTCCAGCTGTAAAACTTGACCCCATCCAGCTGACAGCACAGAGTGCAGGCTGAGGGTGGAGGACACATTTAGAAGCACCTCATAAGTGGAGTCATGTAGGGCTGTATGTTAAATCAGGAAGGAAGCTCAGTGCCCTATGAAACAGTGTGACAGGGAATTCAGAAATTGGTGTCAGTACTTGCAATGCCCAGATGGATTGAGAATTGTGAGACTTTCGGAGTTGCTTCAGTTTACCCAACTCCAGCCATTAAGATCAATGAAGAAAAGCTGTGTTTAGCCGTTCTGGGTAGTGCTTTTCGTTTGTTCACAAGTGCATCTTAATGCATAGGATTATGGAAATGAAGTCAAGAAGAAACCTATTGTACTTCCTCCTTTTGAGCAATGAGGGTTTGCAGCATTTTCACTTCATGAGGCTCATACAACATTGTCAGTTTTAAAATCCTAAGACAAAATCTACTTAATTTTTTTTTTAGAGTATTGACCCTTTCAAACAATATCAATATTATTAAACTGACCACAGTTCCACTGCCTGTATTATACTTGAACTTGCAGCCCACTGGTACACATTTCTGTAATATTTTTCTCTCTTTTTTAATTAGGTTTTCTTCCTTTCAGGTCTCAGGATACCCAGACTCCTTGGGGGTATGTGTTAAATACATTGTTTCAGGTTCCAGAGAACTTTCTGTAAGAGCAGATCCAGCCAGAAGGTGGACAGTGGCTAGAAATGTCCTTTTACTAATTGGCATGTTTTTTTCCAAAGTGTTTCTTCTTTGCTTCATGCCAACAATGACATGTGAATGCATGCCACCTAGTAACAAGAATGATCTTGCCAACTCCTTCCAGGCCAACAGAAGTCTCTGGGAAGATCCGTCCTAATGGTGAAAAACATAACAGAGGGTCAGGATGAAATAGTGATCTATTGGCTGAAAAGCTGATTCATGCCACATGAGGAAATGAGTAAGTATTTGAATGGTAGAGGCAGCAATCTGTTGGCATTTGGATGAAAAAGCTGCTACAATTATAGAACTTAGCAGTTAACTAAGTTTTACAAAAATATTTTAATGCCAAGTTCAAGTATTCTTATTGATTGTATAAATGGATATCTTTGACTCTTTGAACATCAATTTGTATTTACATTGAAATAGAAAGATAAGCTAAGAAGAAATGTAGCCTGCAAGTCAGAATTCAGAGTTAAGCCCATAAAGTTGCCGCTGGGCCAGCTGTGGGACTCTTGACCCTTTGAAGACCATTCTTCGTGGATTAGAAAGGATTTTCTGACATCATTTGCTGATGCTGTAAGGGATTTGGCAAAGCTTGAAAACTGGACTGTGCAAGAAATCTGCTACTGTGTTTTCTAGGACTCTGCAGTCCAGTGCTGGACTCACAAGTTTACAAGGTCCAGAGGTTGTGATGGGCAGGTCATACCCTGCAAGTCTTCTCTGTCTCCTCAGACAGGACACTGATTGATAACCTTTGGATACATCAGATATCAGTGCTTACAGCAGCTGCGCTTCAACTAGTGACAGTACTTAAAGGTGATCCTAGTTAGATCTACTGAAGCTTCAGCATTGCTGGTTAAATTGTACCTATCGTAATAGTATTTATTGAGGAAGCTCACAGTCCTTCATTTGTACAGACTGAAAAACTTTCTTGAAAGATCCAATATCATGATGTAAATGGTATTTATTACAATGTATATTATTATGTCACACTGGTGTACTTAACATAATATATGATGCATAGACACAATGACAATTATATATCACGATGCTCTTTTCGAATAGCAGTTTCTTGAAATGTTCGTCTTTGGTTTTCTGTGTGTCTAAAATATGAAAATCTGTTTTGCAGTGCAAGTGACTAATTTTCCCTTTAAATGGATTTGCGTGTTAGCCTTTTCAGAGTTCTTCTGTGTAGACACAATCTGGTGTCAGATTATCATAAAATCAATAGTCAAAATAGGAAGTATTTTAGCCAGACTGGCTCTGTCTATCTACATTTTATATATATTATAGAAAAATACATGTTGTCTTTTCAGGAGATTTAGAATTTTGCTCCCCACTGTGATCAGAGTATCCACTCCCAAAGGCAAAATGCTTCTCTTACATCAAGTTGGTCACTTCTGTGTTTGTCTTTTGGAATGTGCATTATAGGACCAACATTTGACTTTATTGACAGGACTCAGGGAGATGGGAGAAAAAAAATCAGCTGATATTATCACCTGTTATTGCTTAGTACTGAAGATTCTGCATTGTGTTTCTTCTTAAAGTGAAATTGTATAATCTTAATTTCTTTGAGATGGAATTTTTAAGTAACACTATCAGCAAGTTCAACATTGCTATTGATTTTAATGTCTTCACTGTTCGGTGGGTAGCTTTAACAGCAGGATTTGGAGACTCATTCTCTTATTGGGCTGCTGATTTCTGTGACAGTTTCAAATTCTCATGTACCTTGTCGTGTACACATCACACATTAACATGAAGGTGAATATATGTTACATATCAAGCTTTGTGAATTTGAATTATGTTTTAGTGTTTTTGCAAAAATGTTTATTTTTATATTATCTGTGATTTTAATATAGAGAATTGAACAAGATTTCTTTGTGATTAATAGTGCCATTGAATGGGTGGTATGAAACAGTGTTACTTGACATTTTGAGCCTTCTCAGGTTTATCTCAATAGGCGGTAGCTTAACGATATCCAGACTAATTGTGTATAATTGTGTTTTTAATAAAAGGAGTATATATTTCCTATAATAGCATAGTACTGTTGCATGCAGGAGTATGCAGAATCTGTGTGTGTGTGTGTGTGTGTGTGTGTGTGGCTAAGGCATGACAGCCAACTTTGTACCCACTATTTATAGCAGCAGCAGAGGTTCATAATGAGAGTCACTAGAATTGTACTCACCATAGACAATTAAAACTGAAAAAGACTCAATAAAACCATAAAACGTGGCTTCTGGCTTCTGGCTTCTATGTTATTACAGTATTATCATGCACAAGTTTTCCTGAATTGATACACTACATACAGACAAGTCCTGTGGGTGTGTTGAACTAACTTGGGTATTTCTCAAGGTGAAAACTGGGCTGTGAAACTACATGCTAAGGGAAGCATCCAGATGCAAGGTGATTCCTAATATCATCATTATTGGATCTTTCATTGTCAACAAGGGTGTGATTTAATTATTTAAAGCAAAAGACAGCACTGCCCTAATACGTACTTCCCATGTGGGTTTAAAGCACTGACTCTCATCTTCCTGCATCTGACTTGTGATCCATGGACGTCATCATGCTAATGATAGTCCATTGTGGTTGTTGTCTGTTCACCTACTTTGCTTGCATCTCGCAGATGTGTTCACTGTGCTGCAGAGGTAATGCAGATGATGGAATGAAGCATCTTAAAACATCCCCTCTTTCTATCTCAGTGGAGAAGGTAGGTGAACGATGGTCCTGCGTTAGGTTTCCTGGTGTCTGCTGAAATAGGGGGCCCTGTAACAAAAGCCTGTGTGTGGAAAACCTAGCACCCTTGCCGCCCTTAGGATGCATGTCAGTCGCTGCCAGCTCCTCCATTAGATGTGCTGTCCAGAGTTCACTATTTGGGAAGCCTTACTTATTAACATCAAGTGTAGTGTGTGAGGGTAGTAGTGTGTGTGTGGTACATAAATAGAAATTATGCAATTATC